GTGGCGCGGGGTGGGGGTGGGTGTGGGTGTGGGTGGGTGTGGGTGTGGGTGGGTGTGGGTGGCGGTGGGTGTGGGTAGCCTTCATTTTCGACACTCGTACGTCCACAACCACTGCTACAACTAAACTCACACCCACACCCACACTACCCACACCACCCACACCCACACCTACACCCACACCTACACCCAGATCCATACCCACTTTGGTATTTATTAATTAATGCCATATTCAAGTCTCACAATAATGCAGTGTTTTTTTTTTATTTTTCCTGACTTCTTTTATTATCTTTTTGACTCGAAACATTGATTTAATCTTCGTATTTCATAGTCTGTCTCTATACAATTGTATTATCGTGATTATATCGTATTTTTTCAACCATTGATTTGTGCACTTTTGTCTTCATTAGTACATATTTTCCATTATTCAATCTTTCAAATTAAAATGCACATATGTTTAGAATAAAATACTGAATGCATGTCTTAAGTTGAAGTTTTATGAATGATGCTCCTCATTAAAAATTCTAGAAAAAGGAATGAAATAGTGAATATTATTAGACAAGTTTATGCCACACTTCATCTAGTGCTTATAATACATGCAAGTTTTTTATTAGGAAGATTCTAAATACGAAAATAGAAATCAATCAGCAAATTGAAATAATGAAAATCAAAAGGAGAACACGAAAATTTTACGTCATCTATAGACTATAAATAGCATAAGACTAATTACTAATTGATTAATATGGTAAAAAACTAACCACATTATTAGACATATCACACTGTGTACTGTCTCAGATGTTATAGTGAAACAAAGGAAAACATGGATTCCATGGTGCAATTCCCAACGGGACTATACTAAAGAAACTTCTCATTAATGTTTACTATTGCTCATGATCTTTTTCATAATGAGAATAAGCTTCTTGAGTGTTTGACGACAATATAGAGATAGAATTCAAAGAAAATAAAGACAGAATAAAATGTGTCTGACGAATAACTGTGCTGCTACATGCATGACTTTTTAATCATTTTCATGGTTAGTGAATCAAAATTAAACTTACAATTTTCATAAGTAGTCTTAATTTCAGATTTTATTTTGAACGGGAACATCAACACGAGTTTCATAATATTTCAACTCTGATCACCATCTGTAATTGTTTCTTAAATAATCTTCTGTCTTTTTCGCTGATTTCGAGATATAGGTCACTGAAACTCCTATATATGACATATGTAGAATAAAAATAAAATATAACCGTAAATGATGTCATATTTTATTTTTGATATTACTAACATTTCTTAATAATAATCTAGTAAATACTTATGAAAAATGTCAGGATAGATAAATATTAATGAATCGAACAAAAGTTATCACAAATTCAAACTTGTAAAATATTTTCTTTTCAGAGATTTCAGAAGGTCAACCATTAAAAATGGCAAGAGGTTCTTCCTTCAACATCTATATTACTTATTTTGGGTTTAAGCTATTTTTTCTATGGGAATTAAGAATAGATGAGAATATCTTTTGTTTTTTTTTACGCAGAAGAATATTATTTTAAGAATAGAGAGAAGAAAATTACTAGAAATACTTAAAAAACTTAAAGAGCACATATTTTTTTTTGACTCCATTTATCTGATAAAAATGTGTCAGTTTTTAACAAAAAGAATAAACCACTAACTACAACTTCAGTGAAGTAGTCATCAAAAAAAAGCGAGCACAGTTAGTCGTATCATGTAGAAGAAAACATATTGAAGATATGAACTGTGAGCTGTAAATCTTCTCTTCCATTAAACCGACATATAGATCCTAACCTAAGAAATTAATATTTTGTGTTGAATTCAAGATTGTGAAATTTTTTTCTGTACTTTGGTTATGAGTAGTTGAGTGAAAATTCAAGTATAGTTTTATAAACAGAGATTGTTCAGGTAGTTATTAGAGTTTTAAATAGGTACGATGCAAAACTAATCAAGAAGATAGTGTGACTGACAATGCCACTAAAAGAGTCTGAAAACACTAGTTTGTGGTTTTAACATTAAAATATAGTTTTTTTTGCAAGGTTTTCATTCTATTTCAACTAAAAATTTAGAGTTTTCCGTACCATTCATTAAATATAACGATTTTTTAGCGTTATTCTTATTAATTTTTCAACTGTTTGAATATTTTTTGACTCTTGTAGCATCCGCTTGAGGAGTAGATAACTGAGTTTTATACTAAACCAAGTTACCTACATATTTTCATTTCTTTGTTTTTCCAAATAACTTTATAGTGTATCTTCTTATACATTCGTTGTTTGTGCGTATCTAGTCTGACGTTTTCTTTACATCAAAGAAGAACAAAGGGTCAAAGGGTATTTTTTATTCATAAGAATGTCGTCATCAATATTAGTTACAACATTGGCTAGCGTTCAAAGAGAATTAATTCGTTATTGTTGTTCGATATGGCTCACATTTGGTGTTCCAGGTTGTTTACTTAATGTTATTCTCCTGTCAAGACGACAGTTACGTGTAACATCATGCTGTAATTGTAAGTAATTATTATTATTAGAAATAATATTTGAATATAGAAAACCTTTCATTGTTTTTTCTCTATCTCCATTCTTAAGGAAATCAGAGTTAAAAATGTTTTGACGTGGTTTTTTTTAGAGATTTTTCATTCCTACTAAATGACTTGACCATTCAAACATGAAATTCATTCTTAATTAATTATTTCCTTTGTTATATTGCATTGATCGATCTCAAATTAGTAAAATACAGATTATAAAAATAAACAAAACGAAGTAGACAAGAGGTAGAAACAGAAATATTTCAATCATAGAATTAGAAATTTTTCGCAGATGAATACCTACATTCCTATTGTATAAATATGAGAAAAAAATCGAAGTCTTCGGATATTTGTAAATAAATTTAACTAGATGACCTACTTTTGATCTTTAATTTTAGTTGATACGTTGATCACATCTAAATAAATTACATTCTATAAAGATAGATACTAAGAAATGACTATATCAATATAAATACATTTTAAAGAAAAAGACAATTATTTTGACGAGTCGTCACTCGGTAGAATAATTATTACCAAATCACACAAACGAATCCTTGTTAATGGTCACTTATATTCGTAGACTAGTTTAGTCATCAAATGACTGTTTCATTTGTTCAATATACATAGAATTTTTGTCTACATATTACTGATGTCTATAATCTATTTATCTAAAGGAATATGTGCACTTTTATCTTTTTTTACAAGTTAAACACGAGTTTTGGAACATTGTAAAAACGTAACTAAATACTATTTCTTATTAAAACCAGCATATTTGTTTTGAAAAATCGATTATTAGGAATATTTATGATTCCAGTTAACTGTTTCCCGTCAGCCGGTGCATTATATTTGAACAGATGAATATATAAAATTACCAAATAGACATAAAAAAAAGGTCAATAAATGTAATTAAACTAGGTTTCCATAGAAAATTGGAATACAAAGCTGTTATTGTCATCCTTATAGGATTAAAATGTTAAAACAAATAATTTCTTTCACACATCAAAGGAAGAGTATTTTACTGTTACTTTATGATGCATATTTCTTTACTATTGTTTGATCAGGTCTTTCATAAGTGAAATATGCAAGCAGTTCATATAGTCCGACGAGAAGCCACTAATATGGTTTTACCGATCACACACTAGTAGAATTTGGCATAACTTTTAATAGAGTACTAATTAAGCATTCATTTTAGATCACGCTTTCTGTTGATATTTATAAAATGTACTTCCTAGTTTCGGAAAAGATATCTCATTCCCAAATTGTCACTTTGTTAAACATTATAAAGTTTTTCTTTTGTAGACTTTTTAGGAGCATCATCAACACTTATAATAACTATAAGTGTAAGTTCTTGTGCATATCTGTATTCACTTAATCATCCAGATCCGATTACAATAATACGTGCATTTTGTAAGGCACGTCTCTATGTATTGCAAACAACTATGATGATGGGACGTTGGATGATAACTATGGCTTGTGTTGATCGATATGCATTAAGTTCAAGAAACGCTAGTATACGAAAATTTGCGCAAGTACATGTTGCGCGTCGTGTAATTCCTATTATAGTTGTTGTTTGGCTTATCTTACCTATTCATACACTAGTATTCTATGAGATCCGTGAAGCTGCTGGTATTTGTGCCATTGTTAATAATTGGACAGCAGCACTCTATCATAGTATTTAAGTATTAACTACGGGTGATATCTTTCCCTTCCTAATTATGATTACGTGCGCTTTACTCATTCGACGTAATCTTGCCACAAAACGAGACCTATTCGAACTACAAAATAATTCCAGTTTTCATTCTACTCAACAGAATACACATACAAATGCACATACACATATTCTACGTACACGTGATCAACATGTATTAGCTATGTTATTCATACAAATCATCATGTATTGTATTGTTCATGCACCTCAATTTATTTATACTCTTTATGCTGCTATAGCCAGTAATATTCCAAATTAGTCAGCTGAACGTTTAGCTATTGAAAAATTTGCATTTTTTTTGCTGAATTATGTGTATTTCTATTTCCTGTTACATCATTCTATTTATATATATTAGTATCCCGTACTTTTAGAAATGAACTCTATAATTTAGTACGTTCATTGTTCACAATGTGTTTTAGTCATTGGAATGTACGTGTTGTACACACCAGAAATATTACAAACATTGTTCCAGTATCTAATCAGATACATATGGCTTCTCAAATGCAAAAGACAAATCACTAACTCAATGAACTGACCAAGATCATGTGTCGTGTATAGATTCAATAAACCATAATTATATTCAGCTTATATCTATTGTCTGTTCGATGATCGTTCTCATTTTTTTGTCGTCATCAATGTCGCTGTGAAAGTATGAAAACACTCCCTTATGCTTTTTTTTGTGTATTAATGTTTTCAAACAAAAAAAAGAGAAATAAATATTTGTCGTATTAGTCTAAATAAAGGTTTAAGTTATCTGTATGTCGCATATATCAATAGAAAATGTTATCCTGCTTTTGAATATTCGCCTAATATAATATTGCAAAATAATAGAAGATTATGTCAGTTATAATATAATAATTGGGATTTATATAGGATAATCGTAATATGATATGTTTTCCATCAAAGTAAATGCGTTTTACGGCCTACTTCTATCTGACATAACTATTATAATCATTCTACGTTTTGTGTTGGTAATTTTGTATCTATGAATGAAAAAAGATAAGCATTCAAAACGATAAATGTAATAATTATTGATTTAATAAGATAAGATTAGAAGAACATATGTAGATATGATTATTTCATGCATATGCAAAGCACATTAGTGCATTACTTCAAATGGGATATCGCAGCCTAATGTTTCCTGAGTATATTATAAGCCCTGTATTTTTCTTTTGTTTTGTACGAAATTTTTCAATCTATTTCACTTTGATTTTGTTATTATCTGAAGCGCAGTTTCCTTTTCAGCAAATTAAGAGTCAACTCCTTACAGCTTATTTTTTGTCTATTATCAGACCATAGACATAGGATTCTTCTATTGCTCATATTTGAACGTGTAATTTATTCAATCAGCTCTTCATAGAAGCAAACTGTTCTTGTATGCGGAGTTTTAATCGCTCAAGCCTTTTACGAAAAATCACATTGTATGGATGGTTAACTGGTAAAGAAGATTCCTCGATATTAACAGAACGTTCACAATATGATAAAGCAGCATGGTAGCCTTCAACTTCGTATAATGCTGTAATACTATTGTCACTAACTGCTAGATTATGGCGATCTGGAGGAAGTATATCTTGCCAGATTTCCAGTGCTTCTCGATAATAAGCAAGTGCCTTTGGATGATCTTTCATAAACATATATATATATACACTACCGATATTATTCTTCGTAGATGCTACTAATGAATGATCCATAAAAGGAGATTCTTGTAGAGTTTTAAGCGCTTTATTATAAAAATCTAATGCCATTGAATAATGTGTTAGTTTTTAATGTGCTCCAGCAATGTTATTGTATGCTGAAGCCAAATTCGGATGATTTTCAGAAAGAGATTCTTGCCAAAGTTCAAGAACTTTTTTATAATACAAGAGCGCTGTTGAGTTATCTGTCATTTTTTCATATGTTGAACCGATATTATTTTTTACAGTAGCTAGTAAAGGTTGATTTAGGGGCTGCGAGATTTCAAGAATTCGAGCAGCTTGATAATAACAATCCAATGCACTTGAAAATTCAGTCATGGCTTCGTGAAATGCACCAATATTGTTGTAGGTTTTGGCTGATTTAGGATGATTCATTGGGGATAATTTCTTCCAAATTTCAAGTGCTTTCTTATAATAGGAGAATGCATCCAAGTATTTTTGCATTTTTTGAAGCAGAAGGCTAATGACATTATAGCTTTTGGTTAGGGCAAAATTATTCTCAGGCAGATACTTGCATTTTACTTTAAGTGCTTCTTTATGACTTGAAATTGCATCTGAGTAACCCCCAATTTTTTCATATACTAGGGCAGTATTATTATAATTATCAGGCAGATCTATATAATTCTGGTCTTCAGTGCTTAATCGTATGTTAAACCCTTTTTCATAATATGAGAGTGCGGATGAATAATCTCCTATTATGACGTACACAGCGCCAATATTATTGAAGACAATAGCTAAATCAACATGATCCGAAAATTCAGATTTTTCAATGATTTTAAGAGCTTCTTTATAATTTGGAATCGCATTTGAATGATCACCTATTTTAAAAAAAAAATGAACCAACACTGTCATAAGATAAAGCTAGATCAGGATGGTTCTATGGGAGAGATTTTTTTAGAAATTCTAGCACTTTTTCATAATTTTTTTGTGCATCGCAGTAGTTTCCCATATTAACAAAAACAGTTATTGTATGAACATGCGTTTTTGTAATCCCCCATACTACGATACGTTGCATCAATGTTACTGTAAATAGTGGCCAACTTGTCATAGTTCATCTGCTCAGAGTTTTGAACACTATGCAGCGCATTGTTGTAGCTGATAGTTGCAGCCGAGTATTCACCCATATAATTTTGTGCAGAGACTGTAAGTTATTACTATGTAGAATAACCAAACTAGAATTGTTTGAAGAAGCAATATTTTGTGGGTGTATCAAGCGCAGTTTGAAAGAGCGAGAGAGCTTGTCTAAAATGACCTTTCTTACATTTCAAAATCCCAAGCAGTTGATAGAGAATAGTAATTTCATCATCATCATCATTAACAGGCGCAATATTGAGTAACATCTGATGGATTTCTTCACCCTTTTTAAATTGTTCCATTGTGTACATCAAAAGATCTAATTGTTGCCATGAAGTCCCTCTACCTAAATCTTCTCTCATATGTTCAGTAAGAATTCTAAACTGTTGATCATCATCACTTGTTAATGTCAAGTCTACTTGCCAAACTTTATTGTCAATCTTTTTTACGTCACCAATACGAAAAATTGTTTGCATTGAAAAGAGAATTTCTTTTTCATCATCATAATAACTTATTCCATCAAGAGAAATAAATGGTACGTTTGCATTTACTGTATCAATTTCCATTACAAAAAGAATACCTTTCATATTCGGATTATCTGCATTACTTTCTGCATACATAAGAGATACTGTCTTATCTATACTTGTCGATAAAAAACTATCGAATGAAAATAAACCTCCTTTACCTTTGTATAACTTCTCAAAATCATCATTGGTCATCGCTTGACCTCGGTAGACAATAAAAGATATTTGTCCATTAGATTTTAAACGTAGTTCATCAATTTTTTGATGAAGATCTCGAAGGAAGAAACCTATGGTTCTTATAGTTTCAACATCTTGTATTCATAGAGCTCGATTAAGCATCTCATAAAGGAAACGTGAACGTGGATACCACCGAATAGATGCATCGCTCTGATAATCACGTTCAAATTCATCAACTGTTTGTAATATCTTCGTATTATTGCCATAGAACCCGCGAGATAATGCTACAAAATACTTTCTTTGATGTTCATCAAAGTCTAATTTGAGTAAGACCTCTTTTAAAAGCTTTGTGTACATGTATGATGGATCAAGTTCATTCAAATTTACTTTCGAAATATTAGTGTTAGGCATAATACTAGTTGAAATAAGATTCTCTTCATATCGACGTATGTCATTTTTAAATGAATCGAAAATAGAACTAAGATCTGTATAAATGCCTTTTACTTTATGGAATTTTTTAATCACTTCATTATCTCTTATTTTACCATCGTAGTAGACATAGATCGAATAAATTTGTGGCATATCATGAATGATTGCTATAAAGTTTTCCTCATGGATATTTGACAAAGTCAAGAAAATAAATTCATTATTGACATCGATAAAAGAGTCAACACATTTATCTACATTAATGTATATTTTGGTTGTACTAATAATTGTATTAAGTTGAACATTGACATGTTCTTTGTTCAAATTGAGTTCATCAATCTTTGGATCTAATACAATGAGACTGTAATTATTAATATTATGCTGCGACGATTGTTTTATGAAATGATTTTCATATAATGTTTGTGCCATTGCTGATATTCAAAAATATGAGATTTTTTTCTTGAAACACATGTTGTTTGTCGATTTTTTGCGATTTTTATTAGAATCTGCTTTTGTATCTTGATTGAAAAATTTAATTGATAATTTCTTTTAAAATGAAAAGCTACTTTTTTAAGTAACTGACACTATTTTAGTCGCTGATGTTGATTCAACTAATGTTATTATTTTACTTAAATAAACAAAGTTTCGATCCATGAATAATAGTTTTATTGACATTTTTACAAATCTAGTAGGAAAAAAGGAAAGATTTGCATATAGCAAACAGAATGAATAATTTCTGTTGCCTCCATTAGAATAAATAAGCTTTTTTTCTCTTTCGTGACTGAATATAATGTGCATATGATTAAAAATCATTGAAAGAAATCAAACTTCAGTTATAGCTACAAATATTATGCAGGTAAAGAATCATGAGAAGAAAAACAACTGTTAGAGTCACGAAAATTAACCATATCTTCTTCTTCAGTTATCACGTAACAGAATAAACTTAGTCTGCATTCTAACTTGTTTGATAAGATATACGAACGAAAGAATCGAAATATCGAGGGCATCCGAAAAAAGAATTACATTTTGTGTCTGAGGTAAATTTAATCGAAGCTATTGTAAACATTTGAGCTATTAATACTGAAAAAAATACAAAAGAATATGCGTTTTTTGTACTAGCTATAATCGTTATTACGCTCCCAAACTAAATACAGGAAAAATCTTTGATCTATATAAAATATTTTGAAATGTAAATGATTTGTGACAGATTCAAAAGAAATCATTTGATGCGACAATGCTAATTGATGGATTCGTTAGAGAATTCATTTTATCCATAATATTGAGGATATTGTCATCTATAAGATGTAAAGCTTCTCTTCACCTATTTAACAAACCGCAGTCATAATTACCCGCATTATGTAGTCACTATGAGTAAACAGTATTATTATTTGATGTGATTTATTATAATAAATGATTCTTAAAAATCAGCAAAATTTTATTTTTAATTAACAAATAGTTAATAATTTAGAATTAAAAACAGAATGATTTAAATTATGATTCTTCGATGATTCTAAGCGTTTTATTATCCATGCTAACCTTAATAAAGAATGTGAAATATCAAAAATTTCACCAGCACAATCTATTTTTAAATTTGAGGATTCCATATATTTCCTTAATTGTATATCACCTGTTGTTGCAGGCGTCAAAACTTTTGATTCGTTGACAATTAGTTTTGGCTCTAATCCATTTGATGCCCATATAAATATTGATTAAAATTGTTCTAATGATTGATAGTACCTTTCTGATGAATATCCTTCAGAAACAAGTTTATGTTTGACATCATTCATTTCATTTAATTGATTACAAATATATTCCTCCTATAGCTAAGGATGATGATAATCCTGTTGAACATATTCCACCAGAACATATCAATTGTAAATCATTATATGATTCTATTTGATAATCAGAATATTCCGTAACTGGTCGTATTCCTGTGTACAATCTAACATGTTCATAATTCAACTCTGAAAATGTTGGTATCAATTCAGTTATTTTACTATATAGTTTATTATTTATTTCAGATCTAATTGGTGCTTTAGATCGATGAATTTGTGGTTCACCTGTTAATTCGATAATAATTTTATTTAATAAATTTAGATATATAATTATAATTTTAGTAAATTTTGTTAGTAATGGTAACATGATGGACTTAATAGGCAATTCTGATGTAGATAATGAATAACCTAAAAATTGTCCAATGCGTGGTTGTATAACAAATTTTGATCTTGAAAAACCTTGTTGATCAATACAAATTTTTTCAACATAATCACCATATAATCCAGCACAATTAATAACTATTCGACTTTTGAATTGTCCATCATTTAATAGCCAATATTTTGTTTTCTGAATCGTATCTACCATTTATTATTTTTGTATTCATTCGTATATGACCACCTAATAATTTACGTTGCACATACAAAATTGAAGGTAATGTAAGTGGATCACCTATGCATTCACCTGAAATATGGAAAGCACACAAAGCATTAGGACGTATATGAGGTTAACGTTCGTATAATATAGTGGATGATATTTCTTGTACTTTAGTCATACCATTATATAAGAGAATACAAAACATAATATTATGACAATTTAATGTCTCAGTATTTCAATTTTCGTGACCATATATGTCTTTAGTAATTTTTTCGAAACACATTCTCAAATAATTCAAATAAATTTCGATTATTTACTGTTCGTGAATTTCTCTATGATACTACTTACTTTATGTGCAATATGAACAATTTGTTTTAATATTTCTAATTCATCCGATTTCCATGCAACAATATAAGCACCAATTTTTTTTAATTGGTAACGGAATATCTTGAGCAAATGATTGGTATAATTCATATTCATGCTTAACTAATTTTGATTCTAAAGTTCCATGTACTGTATCAAATCCTGTATGCAATATTCCACTATTACCAGAACTTGCTCCAGTTATTATTTGTGAAGAGTTTTCTAATAATAGTACATTTTTATAACTGTTTAATGTCAACTGACGAGAAACTTCTAATCCTACAATACTACCACCAATTATTATGATATCATATACTAAAGACATATCTTCAGAATGAAATAGATATGAAAGAAAAAAAATGTAAGAGAGTGATATGAAAATAAGTCAATAATGGTCAGATAAAAAACAAAAAAAAGGATTTTCTTTTCATGTGTTTATTCTAGTTAACAAATGAAAATGCATTTAGATATGAAGTAAATTTTTTATTATAATTTATCTTCACATCAACACTAAAAAAAATAGGTATTCTCGGAAACCGACGAAAAAAAGTTTCCGAGGGTTCGGAAACCCATTTCTTACTCTCGAATACCCTTTCATGGATTTCCGAGCCTTCGGAAACCCATTTTTTGCTCTCGAAAACCCTTAAAAGGTTTCCGATAGTAACAATCTCGGAAACCGAAAAGAGTTTCCGAGCTTCGGAAACTCTTTCATGGGTTTTCGAATTTCGGAAACTCTTTTCGGTTTCCGAGATTGTTACTATCGGAAACCTTTTAAGGGTTTTCGAGAGCAAAAAATGGGTTTCCGAAGGCTCGGAAACCCATGAAAGGGTATCCGAGAGTAAGAAATGGGTTTCCGAACCCTCGGAAACTTTTTTTCGTCGGTTTCCGAGAATACCTATTTTTTTTAGAGTGAAGACCGATGAATTTTAAGTATGTATCAAATGTTCAACGAAAACATAATACATATCTATAGAATAATTAATTTTAATGAATATTATTTATTTTATTTTTCTAAATAAAATAATTTGTATAAAGTAATACTAAGAAGGAGCGTATTTCAAAGAGAATTCAATAAACATTAGAATAATATAAAACTCATACATGATTATCCCAGTTTCAATAAAAAAAAAGGACTTTGAATTGTATGAAAGTAATGTTATACGTATATTTTGTATGATACGTCTCTTTGAAAAATTCCAAAAACAAATATTTTCTTTAATCATTGACTTCAACGAAAATAATTGCTATCTTGTAGAGCATCGAAGTATATGCCTTTTAATTATTGAAAAAAGTCACTTGTTTTTCTTTCTGATTCAAAATAAAAACTCTCCAGAATTCTTCGTTTCCTTTTGTGGAGATCTCGTTTGGAAAATACTAATTCAGTTAACTTTCGTATGAGTGACTGGCAGATGGGTGTGTGTCCTTTATTTAACTATTCAATTACACATATGTCAAATCTGAGTTATGCTGACACCTACAGAAATACCTAATCCAAATATTTAAAAAATATTGTATTCTTATATTTTACAATAAATGTATGTATTGCATCAGCCTAAAAAGAAATAGAATTGATGACGACATGAATGACACATCTGAGAGATGTATTGCAATATGCAAAGAAAACAAGAACTATGCTCACATAGAGATTAAATTGAAGTACGAAAATAATTGAATACACCGGCCGGGAGTCGAACCCAGTTGTCTCGCGTGTCACACGAGGATTCTACCGTTACTACCAGTGCTTATTTTTCATTTGTAGAGAAAGTTTCAAAGTAGTTTATTTGAATACATACCATTTAAAATAATCTATAAGTCGAAATATAAATAATTTCAGAAAGTTGGTAAAAGCGATTGAAAAGAAAGTTCTTCATGCTTGATTAATCAAAGACTGACATTCCTGATTTATTAAAGTCGATTCGATTTGATACTGTTATCGCACTATTTCGGTTTTATATGATGACAAAACAGTTGATTAGAATCGGAAAGTCTATAGAAGAGTCTAACAATTCAGAAACGAGAAAAGTCAGGAATTTTAATCTTCAATAGATAAAGAGCAGAAGTATTTATCTTCTTCTACAATATTTGAAAGATTATTTTAAGTTTTCATATATGTAAATCAAATGATCCCCGTCTGTACAGTCTAATCACTTCAACGATCATACCATATAGTAATTGTTTTAAAAAGATCTCTATAAATAAAGAAGAAGCACTGGTAGTTTAGTGGTAAAATACTCGTCCTACACACGAGTGAACCGGGTTCGATTGCCGGCCGGTGTATTAAACTTCATTTCAATTTTTATTTTTACTTAATCGTCTGATTATTTCGAATTGAAAATAAATTATGCTTCTTCTGGATGTAACAATGTATACTTCCTGCAAAAAAGAAACTGCGCCCCGTATTTTCACAAAACATTTGCCATAATGAAATATTTTGTAAAAAATAATGACATATTTTCTGAAAGTCCGTGAAATTTTTGATTACTCTATATATCTAGCTATCACATTATATTTATATGTTCAAAAGTTAGACTGAACAAAAAAGACCTAATGACAATTGACAAGTGCGAAATATCATCATTATTTGCTCACTTTTATTATTATTATTTAAAACTGACTATTTTCAATGGAAAATTTTTATAAAGCAAATATGTCATTTGAAAGAGCGTGAAATTCTTCATCATTCTATCTACTTATATATATATATATATATGAATGAAATTTGAAACAAATAGCTTCATTACAGAGTAACTAATGTTATTACTCTTTACCATAAAGATTCACAGAGAGAACATTATTTTTTTCTGGTTCCTTGTAGTTTTATAATAAACATTTTACACTTTATCAGGTTCGATCGATTAGATAAGAACACCAACACATGAATCAAGGACACTTTCGTTGATATTTTTGTTTTTGATTAATGAAATTTATTCATAATGCCACTTCACTTATATCTTGGATATCGATGGCAAATTATTTTGTTACGTTTAGATCAAGGTATGTCTTCAATGCGAACGATTCATAATATTTTACAATAATTTTGTGAAAACAATTGTGTTATTGAATGTGATGGTCGTGATCAGGCCCGTGCTTCATTGAATAACCGTAAACGACTTCAAAAAAAATATGACAGTAGATAGAATGACAGAGAATTTCATGGACTATCAGGCTGTGAATTTGGAGATATGGGTGAATGTGGCTATTGGTTTTAGCTCTTCTCAAACCTACACACACTCACCCACATTCACACCTCACACCCCACCCTTAACTTCACAAGGGTCTAGGAAAGATAAGCACGAGGAAACTTCAGCACGAATGAAGACCTCGGGTTTCGAAAAGAATAGAATCCTCCAACCGTATCAACATTTCAATTTACACCCACACTCACATCTGCGTCCTAGTACTGGTACAATATCATCATCCAGTACTTAAAAGAGCACCGTGCTGAAGATTCCTCGTGCTTATCTTTTCGGCTCCCACTTCACAAATACCACGTTGCATTGATATCATAAACCTTATACTGATGAAATATTTTGAAATGATGCATAATGAATCTATATTTACAAAAGTTCATATGTTGATAATTTGTGGACAGAAACAGAGATGGAATATCTCATTCGAAAAAGTTGAAATTTTTCATCATTAGCGACAACTATTGTTTTTCTGAAAGTGATGAATATAGTTGGGTATAATAAGGATGCATGGACGCGATTTGTGCTCACTTCCTACAATCATAACAATATATAAGAAAAAAAGTGGTCGTTGTCAACTGAATAAGTGAGAAAGCGTTTGATTCGATCCAATTCGACTCGACAAAAAGAAGGAAAGTATTCGATTCAATTCGGCTACGACAAGCTGAACAGGCCAATGATTCGATTCGTTTTCGAGCTCTGATGTGAACACATTGCCTGTAACATTCGTTTATTCTAAATAACAGAATGACAGGACAAGCTTGTTATGAAAAGGCTCTTCTCTTGCATTTATTAATTATTATTAATTTGATCATCTTTGTTTTTCCCTTGAATGCTAGTTACATATTTATGTCTAACATTTTTGTATATTAGTTCTATTGGCAGTACACTAACAAGGTTTTGAACTGTATGTTGTGCTTTATATCTGTTAAAATGTGATACGTAATTTTAAAATTTTGATCATACTTATCGATATAATGGATAATGTTAAAGAAGAAATTGAAATCATGTAAGAGATGCTATACTTAAATAAGTACTGTCTAAGAAATCCCAAAATATTGATTTCGCTCATTGACATCTACCGTGTGTCCTAAAAGTCCCTTCCCAAAAGTTTTTGAGTAGATTTTCACTATTTTATGGAACTATACCAACTTTCTTTTTTTTAAACGATAGGAAAAAGCGCAAAGTTTTATTCTATGAAGACCTTTTTTTATAGATACTGTTCGAAGGTGTTACCTTCCAAGGAAATACAAAAATTTAGTCTTTTTCTTATTTCAAGAAAAACGTTGTGTAGCGTGTTTCTTTCGAGTCGTTGAATTTGTTGTCCGGCCAGGAGAGAATGACTTTTGAAGGACAAGATTATTACTCCATCTGTTTAACAAATGACGTCCCTCCCGAAGTTATTTGTGTAGAGGATAACTATCTATTTCTCTAATCATGGAAGTGATCGGACATACATTTATTCTACAAACATCAAATGTCGATCGATTTACACTTACGAATTGAAATCGTTCTCATGATGGCCAGGTTAGAATCTCCATCATCAGTTAGACGACATTTCCAACGCGAAAATATGTCGGATATTCCTTCCGAAAAAACCATCAAGGCTATTTATGATAAATTCATCGAAACTGGATCCGTGCATGATAGAGAACGATCAGGACGACCATCCTTAATGACCACAGAAAAATTAGATGAAATTGAAGAAGTTTTATCAGACAACGCAATGGTTAGTGTTCGACGTGTTTCTCAAGAAGTCAATCTGTCAAAATCGACAGTACATCTGGCAATGCGTAATGTGTTAGGTTATAAACCATATAAAATGCATTTAACGCAACAGTTAGACGACGAAGATAAGGATGTACGTGTTGTAATGGCCGAAGCTCTATTACCTATTCTTGATGATGAAAATAATGATGGCTTGATCTTTTTCTCAGATGAAGCAACATTTCACATTTCAGGCACGGTTCATAAGCATAACTGTCGAATTTGGGCTCGAGATAATCCTCATGTTACTATGGAAGTTTCAATGAACTCACCAAAAGTTACTGTATGGTGTGCGATGTCAAGCAAGATGATCATTGGACTTTATTTTTTCGATGAATCGACGGTTGATCAACATAACTATCTCAGCATGCTCCAAAACTTCTTCTATCCATTTTTACAGAAGAAGGGGCTTAATAGAAAAATCATTTTCCAACAAGATAGAGCATCTATTCATTTCTCGAAGGCGGTTCGCTCATGGTTGGACAACAAATTCAACGATCGATGGATTGGTAGAGGTGGACCTATTTCATGGGCTCCACGTTCACCAGATTTAACACCGTTGGACTTCTTCTTGTGGGGACACATCAAAACAAACATTTACAAAACGAGAATTAAAGATCTCGATGATTTAAAAACTCGAATAACTCAAGAAATTCAACGACTCGAAAGAAACACGCTACACAACGTTTTTCTTGAAATAAGAAAAAGACTAAATTTTTGTATTTCCTTGGAAGGTAACACCTTCGAACAGTATCTATAAAAAAAGGTCTTCATAGAATAAAACTTTGCGCTTTTTCCTATCGTTTAAAAAAAAGAAAGTTGGTATAGTTCCATAAAATAGTGAAAATCTACTCAAAAACTTTTGGGAAGGGACTTTTAGGACACACGGTATTAAATAGACGTATTACGGTGAAATCAGATTTTCAAAAATATGCATTATATTTGCCTGGAAAAAAGCGTGTGAGTGTGAATGTTCGTCTCCTCTTCTTCATGCCTAGCCACAACCACATCCATGATCAAAACCTTTCCATTTGGAAAGATATTCAATACAACTATTTCTAATTTGTCGGTCAGGAATTTCTTCTCAAAGAATTACTTGACAATTTGAAGTAAAAAATCATTGTTGAAGCATGATTTGATATATCTTGCTAATATCAAAACCGAGAAAAGATCATTCAAGTTTAGTTCCAGCAGCTAGAAGTGTTGTACCGAACGAGATCACCTAAAAAACGTTTATCATGAGTTTTCAAGAAAAGAATCAATCAGACAATATCTTTTTTTCAAAGTTTGAACAAAGAAGAAAAAAACTAATTTCTCTCCAAAACAGTCGGAACTAGTTCACATGTTTCTTGTCATGACGAGGAAAATGACGAAATAATTTTCAATTGAAGAGCATTTGAACGAGTATTCGATATTCGAAGTGTATTATTTCCAGCGAGACACAGATAATTGTTGACAAATATACTTAATCGATTAATGAATTATTTGGTCTGATAACGAAATCTTTAACAAAATGGAATAGATACAAATTATTTCACTACAATAAAGTGCAAAAAAAATTTTTCAGTCAAATGTTTTGTTATTCATAGTCGAAGTTTGATCGACAAATACAAATTATCTCGAGTGACCAGTATAATGAAATTCGTCCTCGGCATGAGACTTTCGAACAGCATTATTTCAAAACATGTGTTCAATATCGTTACAATATAATTACTGAAAATGTATAAGTGCACTTGTATAAAAGATCGAGCAAAATGCCAGCGATTTATTTGCTGCATCTTCCTAGTGAATTTTTCATATAAAAACACTTCAAGATGAAATATATGTTTTTTGTACTGATTTTGAATACCAGGTTTGTTTTCAATCAGAGTGAAGTTTGTACGATGAATATATATATATATATATATATATATATATAAATCTTATTCATAAAATAATTGAATAGAAAATCTAATTAGAATATTGAAATTTATCTAATAAAGTAACATATCTACTTGCTGTTTATGGTCATTCAATTGGGCGAACAACTTGTTTTATATGAGTTTTTTTGGATATCTGTGGTATTTACTTATATAAACTATAACTGAAACATTGTCTTACGGGATAGAATAAAGTAAACAAATGAAAAATGTTCTCTTTTCTTTTCGTACCCACCTTTGTCGCCCTTTATTTTCTTCTTCATGTATACGAACAAGTGCGGTTACGACCTTTGACCTTGAGATTTTGCTTTTGCTATCTTAAAGAAAAATGACAACATAGAAATATATGTAACATTGACCGCTCGTCAGTTATCCATTGTTTCAGGCCACCGAATAACTATAAAATGTGACAGATTGCTTCTCATTCTTTGTTAGTATAAATATATTCATCGTATAGCTATATTTGATTTGAAAAACATGGAAGAAAGTATCGATAATCATCCAGCGAAACAAATGAGGACAACTGATGAACAAAGTAAAATATTTTCCTGTTCCATCTAATTATTGATATATTATCTAAATTTATACAATAAAGATTTTCATTCAACATTTGAATGTCTCTCCGGCGAGCTGATTCTCAAGGTTTTCGAATATTTCAATACAAAAGAGATTTTTCAATCATTTTCTAATCTTAATTCATTGATCACATCATGCATATTCGATCAACGTCAGCAACTTCATGTACATTTTGATCATGAAATGTGTTATTTTCCTGAAAAATACTCTCCTTCGCAAGTTATTTCACTCCACATGAACAATATTATTATTCCAATTGGCATATTTCATAATCTTAAATCACTTTCCATTGTTTATCGTAATGAGCAAAATGATGAATGTCTTCAGATGATCAATGAAGTTAGTCGAATTTTTAATAAATACTTTTGAGAACTAGAAATCTAATTCAAAAATTTGAGCTATTTCATACATATTATAGAGTTTGTTGAAATCATGGAGAATTCCTAGATGAAAAACAATGTTCTATTCAATTGAGTTCTACAGTGCATGATAAGATAAACTATTTAGAATATTGCATTACTATATTTATTTAGATTTTCAAACTGTCTCAATGGATCGATTTCAAAGTAGTATTAGCTCGTTATTTCGATGTACCTCGGATTGGGCATCTAATTGTTGATATTGCTTTATCTCATTCTTCTCTTCAACAAGTCATTCTGTTAAGAAATTCAGATTATCAGTTTTATTCAATGCACAAAGATTCATTGTTCAAGTTGATATTTCCTTTTCAAAAGGTTTATATACCTGATGATCCCTCTGATGTTAATAATGGTAGTCCTAATTTTAAATTTCAAGACAGAAAAATCTCTCTAAATTTTACTCGGCAATATGATGTTCGTCATCTCGATCTTCAATTCCAATGTTGGAAATTGCAATCATTAGTTAAAATTTTATCTGCTATGCCTTTGTTAATAACATTAAAAATAAAAGGTCATTGTTGTTGTAATGAAGTATATGGTTGGTTATATCTCGACGATTGGGATAAAATGTTGCAAAATTTAAAGGCATTACAACAGGTCGATATTGATATCTGTCTTGCTATACCTTTTAGTTTAAGACAGAAGAGTGCCGCAACGTTCAACAAACTTTCAGCACAAAAAATTCAAACATGCAAACGAATAAACCTAACAGCCGAACGAAGAACGAAAACACCAGGTTCGGGATGTGTCCAGATTAGTGCTTCGCTTAATATGGACTAGATTATAGACGAACTTCAAAAACATTTCTTTATTCATTATATTTGTTTTGTTAAAAATAAATGTGAAAGTTAGTTTTTTTTTTCTATGATTGTTATTTGAAAATAAATTCGTGATCTTTTATTCTTATATTATTGTGGAACGACAAAACAAATATTAAAAGAATTATTCTGAATCAATATTAATATTTTCGAAAAATAATTACAATGAATAAAAACTTAAACGAAAATCTATTCATAAATTTTCACAAATGATTAAGAAAAAGAAAAACATAGTAACTATTCCTAACTTTCTTCAAGTGATTCTTTTTTCTTTCTATCAATTAAGGTGGAAATGGATTCAGATGTCGATCTCTTCTTTATCCAGATTCTAGCTGGCGATCAAATTCTGCAACAATATCTAATAATCACGTGCTCATCGGTCACGATCTGTGAATAGGCCAGAAGTTGAGTGTAAATTTCTGCCCTATATAGTTCAACGCCCCTTTTAGATCGTATTTCACAAAATGGCACATAAAGTTCTATAATTTTGTATGAGAATAGAAACGGATCCCAATATGACCGTCCATAAAAAGAAGAGAACATGTATACATATGCACTTTTCTGCCATAATATAATACATAGACACAATGATGGAAAAATAGGTGCAATTATGGTATAAAAATGCTCAGATAGAAGAGATAGTTAAGTTAAAAACATTTTTTTTTTATAATGATGAATGTGTAACAGAATGCATAGTTTGGTCAAATGCAAAGAATAAACAAACTCTAGGCTTTTTGAGGGTATGAGTGGGTGTCGGTGGGTGTGAGTGTGGGATTCGGGTATGAGCGATGAATAGCAGAACGAAATTCACCCACACCCACACCCACACCCAAAAAATAACAGATGTCAATTTTTCTGATAGAAATATCGTATATAATGTTCAATCGAATATTATTCATCATATCTACTTGTCTCTCAGGAATGGACTATAGGTTCTTGTAGAACAAGCTTTTCTCTACAAAACCTACTAAGTCACATTTCTTAAAAATATACCTGCATTTTGAAATTTACGGCTTGACTTTTTCTTACACTAGCGATTTTACAGTGTATAGTATTTTGTCTATCATATCATTGTTACTCAATCAAATGGGAGAAGTTTTTTTATCAAAAGATTCTTAGGAAAAGGTCTACAAACACTGATACGAGAGAGCATTTTCTAAAATACTGAGCAACTTTTTGGTTAACTACTCACAGAAATATCCTGCATCATTTTCGCAATAGAAAATATTAAGGAATCGGTTTTAAAAAATTTCTGTATTTCAATGTTGTCGATATATTTCTCCAATAGTGATGTGCTGAAGAGCTGAAACTTTCAGAAATAGAAGATCTTCATTAGATATACAGGTGATAAAAATTTCAGTCCTCTATCTCAAGAAAAAGAATGAAAAATATAAGCGACAATTTATGGACAGTTATTATGAAACACCCTTTATATATATTATAAACTTCAGAAATTTCATTTTAGTTACTTTTGAATTTCCACCACGTTTAAGAAATCTTGTTCCAGAAAATCTTTGTTCTCGTCGACAAATTAATGCTAAATAAATTGAACAATAAAATACATTTAAATTGTATTGAAGTATAGCACCTAAATGAAAATGGAAAAATAAAAATAAAACCATTTATAATAAAAAGTAACCATCTTGGATGAACTTCTGATCAGATTGGTTCGACAAGATATTTATTCCATACATATTTCCGTGTTGGTTGATAATGTATGCCTCAACAAAGATTTTCATCATTTGAATTTTATTTTTTCTTGTTTTTGTTCAATAAAATTATATGTAATGTATATGCTAAATCATATCTATAACTAAAATAAAATCAATTGGTTAAGTCAAGATTTTGTAATGCACGAAGATATCTATTCGAATAAAAAAATAGAATAAAATCTCTCTAAGTTTTAATTATTTTTCTTACTTGCTTTCATCTGGATGATTTTTTTTAATATCTTCATTTGTTATACTTAACATTGCTGTTTCTTCAATTTTCAATATTTTATGATAACCAATACGTGCTACTTAACTTCGTTGTGTTATTACAATCATATAATAGCCTTCGAGAAATTTAATAAAACCTAAGAATAAAAAAAAATATAAGATTATCAATTTATGTATAGTTATGATAAGTTACCAATAATTCCATAACAATGAATTGTTTTACTAAAACCAACCTACTCGACTATTGCCTACTTCAATAGTAACAAGAAGTTGACGAAGTTCAACATATGAATATTCGTGCTAAGAGTAAATAATTAGAAAGAAAAAACAACAACTTATATATTTGAATAGAAAATTGACTTGCTTGATCTTTATTTTTTGTCAATTCTTTTTGATCCATACGATCGATTTTTAGTTATCGCCACAACAGGATAACGCTAATAAAAGAATATTTAGAAAATCATTCATAAATAATATTCCATAAAATGAAGATCAAGAACACATTTCAGTTTTCAACATATATATGATTTTGATATAAGTAAGATTCTACTAGATGGATAGGTTAATCATAAAAATTTTTAAAATACTATTGACATTAAACTGTCTTTGTTTTTTTTTACTACTTCTTGTGGATTACAATACAATAGATTTAAAAAAAAAAAACAAGTTTTGTTTATTGTTATATTTTATCTTCTTTTTGTGTGTTCATTTAATACGCACTAAATCAGCGAAAATGGAACATTCACCCATTGTATTTGAATATAGTATTCTATCAGTATAGATTTTTGTATAGACATGTAAAATTGTCTGCTCTTTCATATGGTTATTTATTAAATAGTTAAGAACTAATTAGTGAATATCTCGATAACCAAATTAGGCAAAAACTTCAGGAAAATCTTAGGGTATGACTTGCATATAGAGTAAAATTTTCAGCAAGATCGAACTTCAAAAAGTTACTTTCGAAAAAGCTACCTTTCAAAGTCTTTAGACAGAGCTGCAGAGGTGTAGAATCTGCCGCTAAAAAAAAAAATTTCCCCGCACGAGGGAAAAATTTCCCCCAGCGCTAGTAGCGAAAATTTTCAAAAAAATAAAAAATTTCCTTAAACTATTGTCCGCGCATGTGCGTAGATTCTGCACATCTGTTTTCTACAGCCAATAATCTCCTAAAACTTTTACTGCAGTCAATAATTTTTCAAAAATTTCCCCAAACACAAAAAATTTCCCCGCACGCGCGTGCGCGCAGACGGGTAGATTCTGCACGTCTGCAGAGCTGAAACGAATACCTTTGTCTTAGTATTATTCTAGGGACTCCTACCATAACTATGAACCTCTTGGCATTGATTTCGAATTTTTCAGTTCGTCACCAGAGCATTTGATCGGTAGTGAAATCCTACCCTACGCCAAATAAATTTTGTCATTTGAAAAACCTACACAAGCTCAAAATAATTTTACATCGGGATTTGGTAGCCTTAGAAACTGTCTATAGAATCATGCAACAGTTTTAAATTTTTAAAAAGGAAAGTATATCAAGTAATAGTTGATGCCCTTTTTGAGTGTGACGCCACTAATGGTATTGTTCCTTTACTAACTTCTCTGAACAAAGCTATAAAGTGTTAATTTTTATACGGTATATAGAGACTCGTACAATATGTAAGAATCGCACCTAAACTAGCTGGTAATTTCAAAATATGAATACTCTTATGCATATTAATTTATTCCTAACATTCGATACTTACATTGTTTGTACCATAAATTGTAAAATGTTGCCATGGATTAAGTAAAGGAAATTCAACTATTTTTGATGTCATTTTTCTCTATCTAGAATTACAACGTAAATAAATAATAATAATAACAAAAAACATTTAAGGTGTGCGTGGGTGTGTGAGTATGGGTGCAAGTGTACTCCTTTTCTTCACCACACCCACACTCTCAAATGAACGCGTTTTATTGGACGTTGTTTGTTCTGCTCATTTTTCTTGTAGAACGTAATGCTCTAGATTAATAATATAGTCACCATCAATTTCTATCACTAATTTGTTCTCGTGAAATGTATCTTCAATAATTTCATTTTCAACGTCACTCTGTTTCGTGCATTTTTGTTCATCAGACCAAGGATTGGCAAAGCAAGTCCAATACTATTGAAAATTACGTGGACGACGAAGGATATGTGCAACAGTAGTCATACAATCAGCAACCATTTCTTATTGTTTCTATTATGAAAAACGCGCAATGATGGTTTTTTGCACATGCACATCACACATTCTTTTTTTGCTTCAAAAAAAAAAACAGAAGATCAATCATTTTGAATTGTCATAGGCTACATTACTCCATTCTAGGGTGTGAGTAGGTACAGATGTAGATATACACTCATACCTACCCACATCCACACTAACATATGGATGTTTTCTGTTAACAGTATTTTAAAGAAAGCCTAGTAAAGTAGACTTCAGTTTTTACCGACAAAAATTTAGTTATTTTACATTGAACTTTAACCTTTTATTTAATCGAAAATATGTATAATGGTTAGAGTTCTAGAAAATGAATACTTCGACCGTTCTATGATTGTTTGAATGCAGCAGGACCCTTAAATGTATGTGTCAAGTGACATAAATGTCTGCAAACCATCAATGCGTCGTATCTTAAAAATACAATAAAAAAATACTTCATACAACAACAACAGCAAAAGAGAAAATTAGCTAATAAAATGATCTTGAATGAGTACGTGGCAAGTCATTATGATGAAATTCATAACTAGCATTTTATAAAAATGACAAAATACAATTGCGTGAGGTATCAAATAGATCAGCTTCATATAAAAAGTGCAGTAGTAAACTTGACTTTTAATATATATTTTTGGTATAATTTTCTTTTATTATATATTCTCTAAAAATCTCTCAGCAACCTTTAAGACCATTATTAACTCCATTTTTGTAAGGACTTATTTTTTTGAATTTTTTGTGTTATTGAATGCATTGATATATAAGCAGATTGAAAGGGAAAAAATAATTTTCTCTTTACAATG